GGCATTCGGATCAACGTCTTTTTTAATTTGGCAGGGAAGAGATATGTGAAACCATCCAAGATCACGAAGGACCTAGACACGGACCGGGTGCGTTTTGTTCCTCTGGCTTATGCCTCGCAGTGAAAAGTATATGGAGTTGTTTTATTAAGTCCGAGCCTGGTTTTACTATTCTCAATAATGCAATTATTTTAGTGACCGTTTACTGGTGTCATGTACGTTGAACCGTAGTAGGCCGGAGGTTCGTCTATAATAGCTAGTTCATGGTTCACGACTACAGATATCGTTTTCTGTTGTTCAGTAACAAATGTTTCATGGCATGATGCTCGGGCCAACAAACATGCCTTAGATTGATTTGTCAATCTGTGGTAATCAGCATATTAAGATGTTTCTAGTTCTTAGAAATTTGTCTCTGCAGGATCAGTGAGCGTGGTTGTTTGTAATTATAGTCGGGAAGTGATTTAACAGCGTTATATTAAGCAGGAGCTGACAAAGTTTATAAACCAATGCAATGAGATGAAAGCAGCCGCTGTTGCTAGCAAAGAAGGCGGCCAACTAAGCATCATCAAGCCAGCCGCAGATACACCAAAGGACAAGAAGAATCCCCACAAGTAGCTTAAGGTGAAATTGTATCTACAATCAATACTTTGTTTCAAAGACTTCTGGGTGTTGCTTATTTATATTGAGACAGTTCTTGTTGTAGAAACTAGTGTGGTGGTGGGATAGATGTAATTCAGATGTCTTTATATGCTTAGCTTTATGAGAAATTCAAGTGCATTGCTCTCTTCTCGCCTCCTCTTTCTTGATTGGTGTCCAAATATACGAGTCTTTTGAAACCAATCACAAGTTCCAAATAGGATGTACAATACGATTCCGACCATATGGGATTCTTACAAATTCATCTGACCATGGATTGACCACAACGGACCAATCACTCCTAAACTAGAATGACCACAGCAGCATTTGACAACAACTCACTCCCCCACTGCAACTCAATCTGAATGCTACATCAAAGCTTTCCTAAACTACGGAAACACATTGAATTTCCACAAGCTGATGTACTTGTCGTTGTGAGTGGTTACCACTTTCTTCATCCCAACCGCTAAGCAAGTGACGGGAGGCCGCGCGTTCCTGTCCACCTTATCTATCTGAACATCTTCTGAGAGTCTTCTTCCTCTCCGTTTCTCGAGCACCACTTGTCCGTCACCCGGCATACTCCTTGTGCCCTTATCATCCATTACACAGCTCAAAAGAACTCCTCCTGTCTCCTGATCCATCACTCGCAACACACCATCTATTCCACCAGCTACTAGAACCGAAGTATCCTTCTTTAGATGTTCTATAGAGTACACAACGTTTGGAGACACTCGTCTTTCCCACAGCTGTCCCATTTTCCTGTGGAGACGTTCATTAAGAAGAATTGGACCTTTTCGCTAAGTTTTGAAACATTACAAAAACTTTAGCATCAGTTTTTGGGAATTAACAGGGTACCCTGTCTCAACAGTGGATATGGATAATAACAAATGACCAGGACAAAATCACAACATAATTCATGACATAAAACTTAACATTACACACGAATGAATTCTTCTTTAGCATACCTAAGGTCCCAGCACGAAACATATCCAGCAGTGGTTCCGGTAAAGGCCATATAAGAGCAAGGATTGAAACATAGGGTCTTTATACCTGCGGATAATAAGAATCGATTTAGGCATTCATACAACAATAACTAGAGTCCTTTTTTGGGGAAGAGGGGGTTGTTTGAGAAACAGAGTTGTTATTTCAAGATAATCCGAAAAGGAGTGATTAAGAAAATTACCTCCTGTTGAAATCATCGACTTTAGAGTAGCTACTGGCTGATCTGCCAAGGGATCAGATACTGTAACTCTGCCGAGAGATGAGCCACTAAGAATTAATTGGTCATCGCTCAAAGATAAGCACATTAAAGGACCAGAATGAGTCCTGCAATTGGGTAATTAACAACACATAGATTAATACCATTGGAGAAAATAATGCTTGAACTTCTCGTAGGAAATGATTGAAGGGGAGCCTTGGTGCACCGGGATAAGGTGTCGCCATTGTGACCTAGAGACACGGGTTCGAGTCATGGAAGTAGCCTCTTGCAGAATATTCTGCAAGGTAAGGTTTGCATGCAATACACCTTTGTGGTGGGACCCTTCCCCCGACCCTCGTTCAATGGGATACTTTGTGCACCTGGCTCCCCTCCTTGTAGGAAACGATTACCAATATTGGAATTAACTGATTTTCCTTAATTTCACTTTTTGGAGGAGTTCCAATGCATGACATGCATAAACCATGTTGAATGTTGAGATATATGAAGAATATTATGAGATATATCATATCATAAAGATCTTATCAAATATAGAAAATAGAGATTTTAGAGAGATTTATAAATATTTGATGTAATATCTAATTTACTTATTTAATTTGAGGCTCTCATGTATTTATAATTCATTTGATTATTAATAAAAGATCACATCATTCCGCATATTTTTTCATGGTATCAGAGCCTGATTCCTTTTTAATTTGTTGTTCCTTTTATAAAAAGATGGTTGATAATGAGAGTGAACATGAAGATGATGATATCCACTGTATCATTTCGAGTTTTTTTATTAAGAACAAGAGAGTTGTTTTGTTTGTTTCTTTTTTATTTTCTCTCATAATCCCATATGTTTCTAAAGATTAACGCCAATCATCTTATTCTTGCAAAAAAAAATTGTTGTCATTAAACGATGTCGCATAATTGCCTTTCAATCTCGGATGAATCAGAGTTATTCCCGAGACTCTTTTTTCGCACCACGGTTATTGTCCTTTTTTGTTATCACCGAACGATTCTTTTGTGTGCGGTGCCAAAGTTGCAGCGCAATCGTTTGTTTGATTTTTTTTCAGTTATGTCTTCTATTGACATAAGTTCTCAAAGTGATGTGGTTCAAACGACATGCGTTTGATCATCTTTTCAGCAAGTTGGGCGTTTCGTGATCTTCCACACTCTAACTTGAGGGGATGTTGAGATATATGAAGAATATTATGAGATATATCATATCATAAAGATCTTATCAAATCTAGAAAATAGCGATTTAGAAAGATTTATGAATATTTGATGTAATCTCTAATTTACTTATTTAATTTGAGACTCTCATGTATTTATAATTCATTTGATTATTAATAAAAGATCACATCATTCTGCATATTTCTTATGAACAAGTGTAAACAAATTTAACAAAAAAAATTATCCATGAAAAGTTTCATCCATACCTAATGATCCGTGAACAAGTCTTACTGTACATATCAAATACACGAGCTGTCCCATCCTCACATCCAACAACAGCTTCTGGGTCACCATAACTGGTTGAAAAGGAAGATAAAACATTTTATTTTTGTGAGAAGAGAAGCCAATCTTCCAAATTAAGAGACTCCACCAGAGAGCTCAAAACACAAGTTGGATTATCATATAATTGTCAAACAGCAAGGAATATGTTGACCCTTTGATAGCACAAAGGGTTTTAGGTGTTGGGCATATTGTTTCACCAATCTCCTATATTTCCAGGGTATCTTTCAACATACCGCATGCACAGGCCCTTGGGAAACAAGCCTTCACGAGATGGGAAAATGCTATTCTGTCCATTTCGTCTCCATATGCTTATGCGGGTACCAACCAAGCCAACGATCTGATAAATTGCTAATCCAAAGTCAGGGATAAAATTAAACAGTAGCTCATAATGTGTAAGTACAAATTTTCAGTGGCAACTGCATCCCCATTAAACATAATGTTTACTGTGAGTGTTTGATGCAGCCCAGAAATCCTCCAACATCAACATGGACGATAACAAACAACACCCGAACGAGAAGCAAGACGATGTCGTCAACGCTATAGGAGGAGAAGAAGTGAACACCGAGCATACCATGCCAACCATTCCTACACCTTCACCTACAAGACAAATGACTCAAAGTCTACATTCAAATACCAATGCATATGTCGAAGAGTGGTTGATCAAAACATCCGAAAATGGTTAAGACAATGCAACCGATGCGATAACGACAACAAACGCTAAACCGACACATTGTTATGGAGTTTATGTTGTCCAACACCAAAGACTTCGTGGGCTAACATGTGGGCTACTAAGGAGATATTTGAAGATTGTATTTTCAATAAATGGGCTGAAGATCCAAGCCTAAAGAGCCCAAACATATTCTACACAAGTCCAAGAAGATACCAACCCATTGGAGAGGATATGGTGCTACCTTTGAACCCAATTTCGGCCCACCTTTATCAAGCACGAATTGGGGATGTTTCCTACATGATTTTAACCTCATGAAGACCTAATTTAAAGCTCCTAGCCGTTGCAAGACGTTGCACATCCACTTCCATCAACTTTCCACTTTTTCCTTACTTTATGGTGTCTTGTTTCCCATTACCTTTCTTTAATGTTTTGTTAGCTCCTCCTCATGCACGAGTTCTCTTTGATTTCTTCTGTATTTCAAGCCTATTTAAAGGCCTTTGTATGTCAAGAACCATCAGACTTTGAATTGATAAAAATCGAGTTGCTTAATTGCTTCTTCTTCTTGGTGTGTCCGAGAATATCGCCTTCTGCGCATGTGTGTGTGTGTCACCCTTGTGCAAGGTCAAAACGTGGTGGATTCAATGTTGGTTTAGCTCCTTTGAATCCTCTTTCATACCCCTATCTTCCATCAAAAATTGGGAATCATCCGAGTGCCCTTTGGCCTGGAACTTCCCTTCCATCTATCACCTAAACCGAGTGCTCTCGAGTGCTCTGATTTAGTCCGACTTGTGTGTTGATTTCTAAGGACTCCGAGTGCCCTTTGGCCTGGATATCCTCTTGAAATCTAACCATAGGAATACCTTAGTGAGTCTCCAAGTGTCCCCTGGTTTCGAGCTTGTTGTATTCGTTGTCCAAAAGGCAACATAAGACACACACTACAAACCGCATTTCACCGAAGGAAACGAGCGAGACTTCCTTGGCTCCATGCGTGTATCATTTTTGGTATCAGAGCTCGGTTCAAGGACCACCCTAAGGTAAAGTATCTCTCTTTGTGTTTTACATCCATTTTAATTAGATTTCACCATTTTGCTTTGAAGAAAACCGAAAACCACAAAAACAGTCCCACCGACGAAGAGGTAAC